AGAACCCCTAATGAGGATTTCGTGCGCAAAGCTAGCCACATGGCTGCCTGGCCCTCTCCCGCCACGCAGGGCTCTCGGCCTAATCCCCAGCTTGCTGCTTTTTTGTACCGTCGTCTTCGTTTCTGTTCCTTTTCGCTCTAGTCGGAAGGGCTGGTTTTAATTTCCCCCCTTCCTGGTGGGTGGACGGACCCACGACGGACGTGTGGGCACGGGCTGAGGAATGGCAGGCATCCCCAAACATAGCCCAGATGCTTCGGCCTCGCGCTGAGCCATCCTTGTGCCTCGCCAAACTTCCTCCTCATCTCATCCACCGTCGCTTGCTTTTGCATCTGATGCTCCCTGGCTCTGTTACTCCTTTTTCCCCTGTCCGATGTCAGCCGTAGAGCCCGTCCGCTTCTTTTGCTTTCGTTGTCCCTAAAATAATGCCGTAGGGAAGAGCGCATGTGCGTGCCAGCCTAGTCCAGCTCACGGGGCTGCCAACAGGGGTGCTCGAGATACTTGCATACGGAGAGAAATAAAGGTTTTACCATTATTTTTCCCAGTGCCAAAGCCCTAGCCCCTCTTTCGCATTGCTGACACTAAAAATGGGGGCTGGAGGAAGCCGCAGGGCGAGCCGCGGGGAGGGAGAGGGAGAGGAGAAGCAGCTCGGGGACCTTGCTGCAGGCGGGGAGGTGACGGGATGGTCCCACTCCTCGAGCATCCCCGCGAGCTCGCTGAGCTTGCCAGCAGCCTCCCACCCGAGAGAGAGGGAAGTTTTCCATTTTCAACTCCAGACTTGTCAGCTGGGCTGACTAACGAACGAATCCGGCAGCAACGGGAATCCTGGTGGCACTTTTATCTTCCGTGGCAGTGTCTCTCCAGCCCCGTCCTTTAATTACGGGAAGCTGAAGGGAGGCTGGCGTGGAGACGAAGTGGCAACATGATTTATAATTCAGAGAATGGGGTGATTTTTATTATTTTTTTTTTTCCAAGGCTAAACTGTCATCCTAAGAGGAGTTCACCGGTACATTCCCCCTCTCCCCCCGCAAGCAACAGGGAGACAGTAATTTGTATTTTCTTCTCGTTATCCCTGCGTATCTCCCCTCACCTGCTTCTCTTAAGCCGCCTGTACTGTAATCCCCGCTCAGAAGCCTTGCCTAAAAAGTGACAGGGAACAACGGCGGCTTATTCTGCAAGCTGCTTTCGTGGCAGGGGCTCTAATGCCCTGTGCTGCTGTTTTACCTTCACTCCTGCTCTGTGCTTTTGAGCACCATACCCACCAAATTTTCTTTAAATCGGCTTCGGTTTGCTTTGCTTTGTATTAAGAAAAAAAAAAAAGTAAGTATCGAGTAACAGAGGGCGGTTCTGGGGATTTGTGAGCGGTTACGGCTGTCAGACCCTCTCATCCCTTACAAAAGCAGGGTCTGGGTGGAGCGTACGAAGGAGGATGCTGCTGGGTTTATCAGTAAATACCCGCATCTGCCATAGGGCTTTCCATCCGTGCTTCTCGGAGCATTTTGTGGCAGGAGGAATCACTGCCCTTGCTCCACGTGCGGGTGAAATGGATGGGCGAAACAACCGAGGCATGCTCATCAGGCTTCCCCGGTCCCGCTAAAAGGCTAAAATTCTGAGTTTAGTGGTTCAGACTTCATTTCTAGAGTGGCTGATACCATTTGGACGTTTCTCATTCCCCCGTGGCGCTAATGTCCCTTTGTCCGCTGGCACCATGGCTGCCAGGAGGGTTTGCGATGCTTAACTGAAGACTTTGGAAAGGATTTGAGATCCCCGTAGGGTTGTTCTTGCAGGGCTTGGGAGACTGAAGGATGTGTTTGTGGCTGGCGGCAGCTTCTGGAGGCTCTGTAGACGGCCTTTCTGCCCGGCTTTCCACGAGGAGCATTTGTAAATAACATGCATGGGATATTTGCAAAGACACAGGGGTGACGTGTGAAATGCAGCAATTTATTAAGTCATCAGAATAACTTGGCAGTGGTGGGAGCCCGTATCTCCCTATCACCCTTCACGGGTGTTTACCACCCCTGGCACTTGGCTTGAGATCCTATTTCTGTACACACAGGCAGAAAAACCTGGGCAGGACTTCAACGTGGGCAAGAAACCCCCTTCTGTCTGAACACCGGGGGAATTTCAGAGCTGGTGGGTTAATTTATACCGAGTAATTCCTTCAGGAGCTGGAGGCAGCTTTACCTCAATCCAAATCAGTCCAAGGAAGGAGCATCCTTCCCTGCTTGAGCTGAGCTAATCCTGCGTGAAAATTAAACCAGGTGATTCACGGGGAGAGCTCGGTCGGCACAAGGAGAGCTTGGTTGGCACGAGGAGAGCTTGGTTGGCATAAGAAGAGCTCGGTCGGCACGCTGGCAGTGTCTACAGGAGCCATGGTTTGCCCAATCCTTTCTGCTGATGCTGGTGGTGAAGGACCACCGCACCTCAGCTGCCCCGTGGGGTTTGCAAGCGACTTTTAGAAAAATCCCCACTCCGCTTCGCTGCTTGGCTGTGGCTGCTCAGGAAAAATTCGAGTGGGGTTCAACTTTGCTGCTCACAGCCCTTAAAACCCCCGGAGCATCTTTGGGGGCGGTGATTCAAACCCCCCCGCGCACATCCCTCAGCAACCCATCACTTAATGCTGATGTTTCCAGCCCCCAGGCTGGAGCCCGGGGTACCCAGAGCCGGGTGTCCGTGCGCGGCACGGCTGCGAAGCCGGGGAGCCGACGTGGTGTGTTGTGTTAATGGCAGCTTGTGGAGCTGAGCTGCTCCCCCCTCCTCTGAAAAGCAGCGTATAATCTATGCATTAAAAGTCCTTGTGAGACAGTAGTTGCTGTGCCTACACAGTAACAGCCTCTTCAGATCCAGATATTTTTTTTAAGCGCTGCCGGAGTACAGTGTCCTTCCATTACGGGCTGCAAAATCGCACCGAGTTGATACTAGGAACAAAAAAGAGGGGGGAAAAAAAAATAAAAATCAAGCCTTTTTCCTTTTTAAAACCAGATTTAACTTCAAAGTAAATGGAAACTGTGTCGCTGATCGTCTTCTGCGTTCTCACTTGCTGCGTTCCTGAGCTAAAGGGTTTGCTCTTCCCCTGCGGTAGCGAGTTTGTAAGATGGAAATGGCTGCGTGCTAATTCTCCGGTGTCTCGTGGCTCTTTTAATGTACGAGCACCGTGGAAGTGCTGAGCGTGAGAGAGCGTGCAGGAGAAAGGGCTCAAAAGCTGGGCCGTCAAGAAAAAAAAAAAAAACCCCACACCATTTAAAAGCTAGTGTTGGGTACCGACGCAAGGCTTAGCATTTTTGAGACATCTTCTTGATAAGCGTTTTCCAAGAGTTGAGGGATGCGCGGGCAGTGACAACCATGTCCAGGCCACGCTGGTGGCTTGGCAGCCCCGGAGAACAGGGAAGAGAGGATTTCCCAGCCCCAGACCATCTCCTCCGATGTTTCCCGGGCCCGGAGGGACATTGTGGAGGAGCAATGTGTTGGGGAGGAGCAGCTCCGTCCTTGGTGAGCTGCAACTTGCTCCTGCCCTGCTTTTGGGTGCGATGCCGAGAGGTACGAGGTTGTGTGCTGTTCCTAAACCTTCCCCCTGTCAAGGGTAGAACACAAAACTAAAGCCGAGAGCCTCTGGCCTGATGGGATCCTTCCTTCCCATTGCCAACTCATTAATAATTAGGAGAAATTTCTGCGGAAACTTCAACCTCAAGCCGCTGACATTAAGTGTGCGCCGTTGGCAAAGAAGGTCTGTGCTTTTATACCGAGGAGACCTCTCCCCCTGGGTACCCCTTCCCTTCCTCCGTGCATCCCTTACTGCCCATCCTATTTCCCTAGCCCTCTCACGGCATATTTTTGGACCTTATGTAGAGGGAGGAGATATTTTAGCAGCAGCCCCATAGCCCAAGAGATGGCGAGTCCATGCTTGGAACCCAGCGCAGCCAGGACGTGTAAGCTACAGCGGCATTTAAATATAATGGGGAGCCGTGTGCGAAGGTTACCATAAAAAGCAATGTCAGGGCAGCAGCATCTGATCCGCGGCCGGGCAGCTGGGCGGCAGGGTGACGCTGGGCGAGCTCCCTGATGACTTTTGCAGGTTGTTCTTCGTGCCCCAGCTCCAGCCGCAATAGTTTCTCGCAATAGTCAGGGTCAGAGGGAGAATATCATCGGGTGAGGACATGAGAGCTGTGCACGGACCGGCCCTGGTTATCCTCGGCCAGCAGAATGGCAAGAACACGTCCCTGGTTCACCGTCTCGGTGAGGGATGCTTGGACACAAATAGCTTGAACACAAATATTTTCCCTTCTCCCTCGTTTCTGGCATTTGCCCTTTGCAAACTGGTAAGGCTCAGGGACAAAAGCTTTGTCTCCGCACCCGCTGGTCCGACACATTAGCACCCTCCGGGGCGAGCACGGCGGCGGAAAATGGGATTTTAATAGGGGATGGAGTGACTGTGCGGGGCTGCGAACGCCCGTGGTTCTGTTTGAACCCGAACGCCTCTGGATTAGCCCTGCATCCGATGCCATCTAAAGCAAATTACAGTCGTAAAGTGAGATTGGTGGTTTTTTTCTTTTTGCTAATGTACCCCCCAGCCTGCTTTATAGTTTATTTTCTTTGGTGTTTTGGGTGGGTTTTTTTTGTTCAATTTAAAGAGATCAGAAAGCTGTTTGCTTGCCTCTCAGAAGTGAAAGTCATCACCAGGCTCTTTAGACACATTTTTCACAACCGGTTCCTGACCTTGGCCCCCCACAATGACCCTGTAGTTTGTAGAGATTAAATGAATAGATCCGGAGGTTGTGTGACCCGTTTCATACAAACCCATAGCCCGGCACCGCTATAATTTGATTTACTGAAATTTAGGAGACAAGAGCAACGCTCCAGTTTCTGGCTTTCCCTCTTCTGTCGCGTTCAAAAATATTCTCTCTTGTCTTTGCCGTCAGATGTTCATGTTTCCTCAATTTGTAACACATTTTAATAATATGAATCTTCCCGTAGCCTGGCTAATTGTTGGCTGCTGTTAATCCTTCTGTGTGGGGTACAGAGCTCCTCTTCAGCTCGGCAAGCCTTGCTGGAGTTTGCCACCCCAGAAATTGCCCGAAAAAGGAAAAATTGCTGCAGTTAACGTTTATTTTGCCCTTCATATTTCTTTTTCCCGGACTTTTGATTCAACTCCTCTGCCTGCTCGTTCCCCTTCCAAACGGGGTGTTGGGGAAAGCCCACGTTAGCTAACTATATACGGGGGGGGAAAGTTGTTTATTTTTCTCTCCCTGGTTTGCTCGGTGGAGTTAACAGCTTTGTTTTCCGCAAGCAGTTTCCGTCCCCCATCCCAGATAAGGCAGCTCTCCCTGTTCTTGAATACAGCAGCTGGAAGAGAGGGAGCAAACTGTTAAAAATAAAGAACTAATGGTAAAAGCATAAGGGCTGGCAGGAGAAGTTAGAAGCAGGTTGGGGACCTTCAGAGTACTTTTGCCAGGCTTTGCAAAATTGGCTCGATTTTTATTATTGTGATTTGCAAACACACCCTTCGACACATGGATTGACCTTCACAAAAAATGTGTTTCTAGCTCTCCTCTCAAACACTGTAGCTTGGCAAGGCTTTGCAAATCTTTCTGTATAACTTAATCCTTCCTTCCAGTCTCCTGGAAGATTGCAATGAAAGCTTTTGTCTTTGGCCCGGGTATTTTTGATCTGAAGCCTGAATTATTTGGGGACTTTCAGGTGGGGGATCACCTTGGATGCTGCATCCATCCAAGATATCCCCCCCAAAAAAAAAAAACCCAACCCTTCCCATCCTTTAACCAGGTTCAGTAGCGTGTTCCCCAGCCTGAACATGGCAGTGAAGAGACGGGAGCAAACGCTGCAGGACTACAAGCGCCTGCAGTCCAAGGTGGAGAAATATGAGGAGAAGGAGAGGACCGGCCCCGTCCTTGCCAAGCTGCACCAGGTACCGAGATGCTCGCGGACCCAAAACCCAAGCAGCGTCACCGGGAAAACTCGGGAAGAGCTTTTCTCTTGGTTGTTTGACGTCCATGCCAAGCCCCCGTGAAATAAAACCTTTCGGAAGGATGTCTTTTATCGATGCAAAATTGCCACGTAAGGTGCTCGATAACAGAAATGTGAATTAGAGCGCTCGGT